GTAATTATGTCCCCACTGGATGCTACAAATGCCTCGTTTGTAATTAGTTTTATTGGTTTTGTCTCGTCGCTCCGGCCGGACAAGGCATCACAATATGGTAAGGGGCATAACATTTCTGTCACACGCTTGAGGTATTCGGCCAAACACAACGCACTGGATAGCTGGCCAATCACAGCACACCTCGCTTTTCAGAACGATGAGCTTTGTAAAAATCGACAAAAGGCGGGGCATAGAGGAGCAACAATAATTGTACAGTATGTGGAAAATAATGTTTTTTTTAACCTTAAACCGCATGAACACATTGCATTACACCAAATACACAAAATAATGTTCTTTTTAGCAACGTCATATGACCCCTTTAAAATAATGCTGAAATAAATATTTTCACTATCATATATCACATATTATCACTGTGATAGTATGATGATGAATATTAATATTAGAAGGGCAACTTAAAGAAAATTTGAAATGTTGCTTGACAACTAACTGAAATAAAATAAGTTGAAGTTGAAGTACTAAAACTATTAAAACTGAAATAGAAAAAAAACAAAATAAAATATTAATAAATAAAACAAAACAAAATGGAAATAGAAAAAAAGCAAAAGTACATAAAAAATTACTAAAACTTAAATTAGAAAACATAAAACAAAACTAATTAATAAATACTTAAATGGTATATGTGAGCCTGGAGCACAAAAGCAGTCTTAAGTCGCTGGGGTATATTTGTAGCAATAGCCAAAAATACATTGTATGGGTCAAAATTATTGATTTTTCTTTTATGCCAAAAATTATTAGGACATTAAGTAAAGATCATGTTCCATGAAGATATTTTGTAAATTTCCTACTGCAAATATATCAAAACTTAATTTTTGATTAGTAATATGCATTGCTAAGAACTTCATTTGGACAACTTTAAAGGCGATTTTCTCAATAATTAGATTTTTTTGCACCCTCAGATTCCAGATTTTCAAATAGTTGTATCTCGGCCAAATATTGTCCTATCATAACAAACCATACATCAATTGAAAACAAACCATACATCAATTGAAAACTTATTTATTCAGCCTTTAGATGGTGTATAAATCTCAATTTAAAATTTTTACCCTTATGACTGGTTTTGTTCTCCAGGGTCACATATAAATAATACAAAACTAACCATGGTCATTTGTCTGTATTGTGTGCATAGAATGAGTTTGGCCCTTAAAAAATAAATATCATAATAGTAAAGTATATAAATAATAATAAAATATAACTTACTTTATTAAAAAAATTAGAATCGGAAGAATGTTTTTCCTCGAGTGTCATCAGTCTTTTATTTGCAGAGCGTCTGGTGCAGTCGTGTTCAGCTCTGCGCCCGTTCCTCCTCCTGAACCTGTGCCCGGCTGGCAGCGTCTGTCCAGCGATGAAGGAGAAACTGACCTCCCTGAGGAGTCCGAGAGGCTGCTGTGCCACTATTCTCCACAGCACCCGCGACCCCTGAGCGTGAGCTGAGCCAAACCACTACATTACAAAACATTTGTCCCATTTTGGGACCCTGTATATTCAAAAGCATTTTAAAAATGGAGTAATATAACGTGGCACCTCATTCTGTCTTGTCTTAGTGCTGTGCATTCAGCAGTCGGTTGATGGGACAGGGTCACTACGTGTTCGACAGGCGGTGGGACCGGGTGCGGCTGGCACTCCACTGCATGGTGGAAAAACACGTCAACTCTCTCATGTGGAGGTGAGCGTCCCGCATGACCCACAGTTACATGTTTGTCTGTCTGCTCGCACAATTATTGCTTATGAATTTATGGGTGGATATGTTCTGTTCACTTTTTTCCATAATAGGGTGAATCTCACAAATGCTTTCAAATATTGCAGCAACCAGCCTATCCACAAGCTGTAGCAATGCCAAGACCACGCCCACTCTCAAACTGCAGCTGGCCAATTCACACTTACACAGGTACATACTGCTGACTACATGACAGTCAGTGACTCTACTGAACAGAACTGTATAAAATTGATTCACAGATTTTAGTTAAAGGGGTCATGATGCGATTTCAATTTTTCCTTTCTCTTTGGAGTGTTACAAGCTCTTGGTGCATAAAGAAGATCTGTAAAGTTGAAAAGACTAAAGTCTCAAATCCGAAGAGATATTCTTTATAAAAGTTAAGAGTCAACCACGCCTACCTAAAACGGCTCGTTCTAACACGCCCCCACATACCTACATCACTATGTGGGAAGATTTGCATAACACCGCCCAAATGTGCACGCAAAGAAAGAAGGCGTAACTTTCATTCTCGCTGTAGTATTGTTGCCTCCTTGTCGTGAAGACGCGGTGTGTTTCGTTGTGAAAGCGAAACTACTTAGGTTGGCCTTCCAAAAGAGGACGATATCCGCTTCATCATGCCTAGAGCTGATCCGTGCTGGTAGCTGAGGAAATACATCAACTTCGCGCTGTGGAACGCCGGATCGGCTTCCACTGCATGGTGGAAAAACACGTCAACTCTCTCATGTGGAGGTGAGCGTCCTGCATGACCCACAGTTACATGTTTGTCTGTCTGCTCGCACAATTATTGCTTATGAATTTATGGGTGGATATGTTCTGTTCACTTTTTTCCATAATAGGGTGAATCTCACAAATGCTTTCAAATATTGGGGTTGTATTTCACTCCAAAATCACAAAAAAAACTGCATTAAGAAAGTAAGGACTTGTTACAGCTATTTTTTTTTATTTGGACATTATTTTCATTAACAGTTATTCAATTATTACTAATAGTAATAATAATAATTATATTACAATTTATATTTAATAATGCTATACAAATATAGCCAGTTTAAAATGTTGCAATGCACAAATCTTACTGAACCTCAAAATAGGCTTCATTTTCTTTATGCTAAATATTATTTTCACCCAAATATCATAAGAAATTAAATATATTTTGAATTAAGAAAAAAAATCAAATAAAGATTTTTTTTCTGAATTCTGACATTTATTGTCATGATGTTTTATTTTTTATGACATTATTAAACAAATCATGAAACATAAATTATTATTTTTTTATTAATAATATTAATATTTTTAAACATCATTAAACTGAATAAAGTCATTCAATATGATTGTTAATTGATAGTAAATAATAAATAAACAATAATTCTTATTAAACATTGTCATGGTGGTTTAGCACATTTACAAATATTTTTTTATTTAATAATAATTAAATTAATAATTCATATTTTTACAATTATTCTGTAATACCTGACATAATTCATGTTTAATAATAATAATAATAATAATTAATATTAAATAATAATACTACAGCTATAAATAATATATATAAAAAATATAACTTCACGAAAATAATATTGCTTCATTTTCTTTATGCAAAATATTATTATTATAATAATTTTTTTAGATTTATTTGGTGAGGTTTTTCTCATAAGCCTTTCATTTGGGCTGAAATGAATTAAGTGAATGTTAACGGCTTCAGTTGAGCTGTGTAGTTGTAGTGCTTGAATGGCTTTACAAAGGCACAAACGTTTTCTTTCACTCAGTAACCACACAACTTTTAGGTTAACATGCCACATGGTTTCCTACCACACACTGGTGATGTCATATCCTGTTTCTCACAGGAAAGTCCCCCAAGCGGTGGAGAGCGTGACAAGCCCGACTGAAGTTTCTCCCCTCGGCTCTCCGTTCGTCTCCAACCACGCGCTCACGGCTCCTCTGGACGGCGTCTCCATGGTCTCATACTCCACCTCTTTCTCTCATAACGGAGGTGGGGTTTTCTGCATCCGGGACCCCGAACCCAGACCCAGACCACAGCGGAATAAACCGGCCAAGCCGCCCAAAGCCTCAGGGGACAGAACAGGATCTAAAAAGCGGAAAGCACCTCCCGCCTCTGAGTCACGAAAGAGTGGGACCAGCGGGAACAGCTACCATCTGCCACTGGGCGTGGCGCACATCAGTAACGGGACGGCGGCCCTTAGCGTGCGGGCCAAGCAACGGCCGGGGGGCCAGGGGCCGAGGGACCAAGACAAGGACGGGAGCGTGGAGCTGTCCCTCCCGCAGGCGCTCACCGGGGATCACGGGGGCATCTCGTCCCACAGCCCGCTGCCCTACGGATCCTCTGATGGGAGGAAGAGGAAGAGCTCTGGATCGAGCGCCGGCAGCGACAAACCCAGCAAAAGCACCAAATCCACAGCACTGGATGGGATATTCAGGAAGAGCAGCAGCGGTTTGCTGCCGTCAGTCGCCGAATCGCCCCACCGCGCCCTCCCCAGACAGGTAAAACAGATGCGAGAGTGAATTTTCAGCATGACATGATGTTAAAAAATGCAGCAATGTATGTTTATAGACCCCTCAAAGAGATTCAGATTTTTTTTCATGTTGGTTTTTCCACTGAAAAACACTCATTCAATCAATATGACATAAGATATATTAATATTTTGTATATAAAATACAAAAAAAAATCTTTAAAAAAAATCTTATAAAATATTAAAGAATTTCAATATGTGATTTGCAGGCCTGGAAAAGATTTATAATTTTTTTAATAGTTTTTAGTTTTTTATAATATATATTTTTAATAAAAAAAAAATATATA